TTTGAATTGAGTAGAAAATTTTTGATGTGACATCTGATATCTGATACAAAAATTTACAATTCATAATCAAACACACAACTCAAAAATATATTAAAAGCTCATAAAAAATTTTAAAAATTTTCAAAAATATTGTTTTATTAAAATTATATATAAAAAAACAAGTGCCAATTGCAAAAATAAATAAATAAATTCGCACTGTTTAGGTCAACCAGCCGGTCAATCGACCGAACAACTAGCCGGACGTCCGGGGGACGACCGGTAGGCCAAATTTCAAAATTTAAAAATCCACCTGGAACAAGTTTTCAAACGGAGTGGAGGAATTAATTTTTCAAAACTCAAACCAAACATCATACTAGAATGTAGAGGTAGAACTATGATTCCAAAACTCTTCCAAACACAGCCTAATTTGTTTGCACAATTTCTTTTTTATCCTCCATAAATTATTTCACAAATTCAAAATCTATACAGAGAAATCTATTTATTTTCCATTTGTTTGAAAAAAATAAAAATAAAAAGAAAGGTGGCATAGGTAAGTAACTGTTTGGATTGGTGGATGGTTGTGGATTGGTTCCTACTCAGCTGAGTTAGTAATGATGGCAAGGAATGTGCCCACAATAATACAAATTTTGTTATTGTTTCAATTTGCTGGGTACAAAAATATTCCTTCATTCATAGCTGGTGATCATCATCAAAATGTGCCATCAAATGCAGAGAGACTACATGAGACATACTAGTTTACAAGCCCTCTCAACATTGGATTTGACTCTTAGATCTCTGTGTTCAAACTAAGTATAATGAGGTATGAATATAAAGTTGGAGGATAGTGAAAGGGAATAGTGGATTGAAATGCCACCTTCCCACCCTAATGGTCCACAAATGAGCCCCAAAAGGATGAAAATATAGGGACATGTCTAAGTCATTTGTAAATCTAATTAATCTTTTTCTTATGTTATCCATCCATGCAAATTTCTTTATATATTTAGTTCTCAAAATAGGTCAAGAATTGTTTGTACTTAAAATTTTACATGTCCTCTTAGAGTACTACATGACATTATTTATGTAATAAATAAAATTAATGATATACCGAAAAAATTTACAAGTGAAACATTTATGACTCACCTTTGATAGATAGTTGATAGATGAAATAACTCACTTATATGTGTTATAATTTCTCATTTATCCAGAATTCCACAAGCAACACTACATTGTATTCCAAGACTTCAATTGCATGATATGATGAGAATTTGAAATGTATTTGTATAATTGAAAATATATTGTAATAGAAAGACATGAATTTTAGAGACGTTGAACCTTGTGTGGTCCATATAAGGTGGATTGTAAGGTTTAATGATCAATAAATATACGAGGATTGAATTTTGGAGCATTAATAGTGTGTCTGACATCATTGAATTCACGTCTTCAATTAGTACTAAAAAGCAATCTTTGCCTTGGGATGAGACTATTTTAGTAATTTTTTTATTTTTTAATTAAAATATGAGGTAAAAAAATTAATATGTTTAGGTTGATTTTTTGACTTTTTACGAAAAGATGTGTAAAAAGTAGAGAGAAAAGAGAATCTTTGACTTTTTAGTATATGTTATAGGCTTTTTGATTTTTTTGTAACTTTTTGACTTTTAAGCTAAAACAGCTACTTGCCAAACGAGGCCTTAATAGTTTGCATAATAGAGATAGTATTTAACTCATCAGACATCTCAAATCAAACATTATTGATCGGTATGGAAAATTATTCAGCAATAGTAGTAGGGATGTAATCGGTTCGTGATGGTTGATGTTTAGATGAAATTTTACACTGATTGATAATGTCGGTTCTATTATATTGAGAATTGATACATACTAAATTTTTCACTAAACTGGACAAAATTGCACCAATTCAAACGGTTTGACTCAGTGCTGTTTAATCGATTTAGGACCTTCTAAATTTGAGTTACTTTTTAAATTTATAATATAGTAAATAATTTAAATAAAAATATTGAATTAGCCATTTGTATATTACTTCAATATTTAATCTAACCATTCACAAAATTGAAAACGATATAAACATATGCTACAACTATGTAATCATATTAGTAGCAAAACTTGACTCTAGCACATATGAGTGGCAAACTAATAATTTATACTTACCCAAAAAAAACTAATAATTTATCATATTGCCGATGTCTATTGTCAAACCCGGAATATTTAAGAAAAATAAGCAAAGTGAATTAAGTGAACTTTGTACTTAATCAACTTCATTACATATTTAATATATATTATGTTTAATATGGCAAACTTTCGGTCGATTTTGGTTTCATTCAGTGCACAAGGTGGCTAAACCGGTACCAAATCAAAAATTGAAAAAAATTAATTTTAAAAACTGCACAAACTGAATCATATTAAAAAAAATCTACCAAATATAACTAGTTTAGTTCAGTTCAATTGATTTGATCAATTTTTTAGATTTTTCTTGCATCCCTAAATGGTTGAAAAATTTTGTCAAAAAATTACTTAGAAGAAATATAGTGTGTGGCCCTTATGTTAGAGTTGAATTTGTATTACACTTTCTTTTTTTTTTTGGATAATTAACTTTTGGGATTTTTTTTTTTTAAGATCCCTGGTATTAAAATTTTATAACTTAAAGGACACTCAATATTTTCATAATGTTTAAGGTCCCTCAACATCAATCCAAAGAAAATTCGATTCAGAGAAAATTCTATATAGAGAATTTCTCTGGACATATCACAGAGAAAATTTCAAATTTCTCTGGACAACAATAAGGACTAGTGCTCTGCTACAGAGAAAATTGGGTTGGTCCAGAGAAATTCTCTGGTTTGGACTGAATTTTCTCTAGATTGAACTTAATTTTCTCTTAGTTGGTTCAGAGAAATTCTTTGGTTTGGACTGAATTTTCTCTGGTTTGGTCCAGAGAAATTCTCTAGTTTGGATTGAAATTTCTCTAAATTGATTTGAAGGACCTTAGACATTATCTCCTTGACATTTCATCAAACACCTTTTTTTGCTAAATCCATGTCCCAGCTCTGTGCGTATTTTGTATATTTTCAAAACAACCTTGTGCAAAATCAGAATCAAGTATTTTCTTTGATGAAATATGATCATTTGTTCAAATTTGAAAAAGAATATAACAAAATTATTTTGAGAGTAAGAAATTCATGAATTGAAAGCAACTGTAAATTGTGTGTAACTCATTCATAGCATATTTATTACATTGAAGACATGGAATTTAATTGAAGACACTTGATCATTTTTCCTTCTGAAACTCCAAAGACTATAATTGTTCTTAATGTAGTCAGGAAAGCTTACAAAACTACTGCGTGGAATCCACCCATATAACAATGGTGCATGTTTTGATAACATCATCTCTTGTTTGCATCTTTGGCCACCATGGCTCGTCTTTCTTAACACCATGACCCTCATTTCGGAGCTTTATTCACCACAACTGGAGTTCAAAGTCACCTCGAACTGACTCATCGGTGGAGTAGTAAAAAGTGCAATATTCACGAACCCTCGCAGCTCAGATCGTAATGGTTCAGCTTAGATCGCAGCATTCCAGCGACGGCGTGGTAAATACAGAGGTGAAAGTGAAGATCGAAATGTGCACAAAGAAAGAGGGTTTGGTTTGGATAGAATGAAGATAAAAAAGAGAAAGAGAGAGTCAAATTTCTCTGATATGATATATGGGTGTGTGTTTAGGGATCTTAGACATCAAAAAATAATATTATGAATCTCTTTCATTACTAAAAATGGAAGAGGAACCTTAGACTAATTTTTCCAATTTAAAATAGTTATTATTTTAATTAGTTTCTTTTATTTTTTATGAAATGGCATTTAAAAAAAAAAACTTATTAGTGTAATTGCAAAAATTAGTTATTGTTTGATGGAGCAGTTTATAACTTTATATTTTAATATTTGTAATGTTTACCATTAATCTATAATTTTTTTTAGGGGTTTTTTTTTAAGGTCTCTCGTATTAAGATTTTATAGCATAAAGGACATCTAATATTTTCGTAATGTCTAAGGTCCCTCAAGTTGATCAAGAGAAAATTGGTTCAGAGAAAATTGTTCCAGAGAAAATTATTCCAGAGAAAATTCTGGACCAAAGAAATTCTGGACTTCCAAAGAATTTCTAGAATTTCTTTGGGTTCAATCCAGAGAAAATTCAAATTTCTCTGGGTTCAGTTTGACCAATTTTCAAACCAGAGAAAATTGATAAATTCTGGACTTCCCAAGCCCAGAGAAAATTAACTTCACCAATTTTACTCAGTTAAAGGCAGAGAAAATTAAACAAATTTCTCTGCCCTCCCTGCCTCTCCTAGACTCAACTCTCCAGAGAAAATTTGAAAATTTCTCTAGTCTTCCCTTATTTCTAGAGAAATTTTCCTTTTCTGGCCTTCCTAGCCTTCCCTTCTCTCCAGAGAAATTTCCTTTCTCCAAACCCAAAGAAATTCACTCAAACCAGATAAATTTCCCAAACTCAGAGAAATTTGCAAAGAGATGGTGTATGTAGCACACAGCTCTGAAGAGGCCAAAAGCTGGTTTTGAACAAAACCGTGGACTAAAAAATCACCCACATGTATAGAACCAGATAAAAAGAGACTCTCCAACCTGATCAATGACAACTAAAACCCAGATAAGAACCAGTTAAAGTTCCATATGTGCACAATTTCCTGCACAAACAAATTAATAGTTCTTCTATGAGTTTGTGATAGATTTTCTTTAAACTTAATGCTATGAATTTCTCTGGATTCAACCCAAAGAAAATTCAAATTTCTTTGGTCCAGAATTTCTCTGGAACTATAAAACTCTGATTTGATCAATTTGTTTTTGGTTGTGCTGCTACTGATTCAATCACAATTTCCTGTGCAAACAAATTAATAGTTCTTCTATGAATTTGTGATAGATTTTCTTTAAACTTAATGTTATGAATTTCTCTGGGTTCAACACAGAGAAAATTCAAATTTCTTTGGTCCAGAATTTCTCTGGAACTATAAAACTCTGATTTGATCAATTTGTCTTTGGTTCTGCTGCTGCTAATTCAATCACATGATCCTTTGCAAAAGCTCCTTCAAGTATTCAATGGCATCTCCAAGTATTGAAGCTCTATCCATCTGCATGCATCATATAATGAGAACAATCAGTTGTGCAATACGATTGTAAATTCAAATCACAAATAATTTGATGAAGGTCTCTATGAGGACCAAAACTATCTATGCCTTCTTGCACTAAAGAAACTCACTTCAGGTTTTAGTACAAGATATTTAAAATATTGTCGAAAAATTCTTAGGATTAGCCCTGAATTCCTTTGTATTTTTGGAAAAAAATTACCATAAATCATCATAACTGGGTTAAATTCAAAACACACTCTGTGGTGTAAAGTTAGCAGAGCACAAGAGAGAGTTAGAAACTCATTTTTATAGATATATTCATACCTTGTTGATTTTGGGGACAACAGACCTAAGCATGTATAGTCTATCATTCAGCTTTTTCCTTTGCCGCCTTTCAGCCATCAAATTTTTGGTTGGCAGCCCCTTTTTCTTTCCCTTTTCCTTTTGATCATCTCCAACAACAACAGTAGTGACGGTGGTGTTAGCATTGGAATTGTTATTCCCACCATTGTTGGTATCCTCACTTTCATTCACCTTCTTGATCCCAAAAGACTCATCAGAAGAATCATAATTAAGTCCCGACACATCAATACTGGCTTCCTCATATTCATCTTCATCGTTTATCTTCCTCTTCTTCTCTAATTCTCCATCGTCCAGTGTCTTTCCCCAATTTCCATCAGCTCTTGCTGAAACCTCGGTGTCCCTCCTCAAGTCCAAATTTTCCAAATTAATGGCTCTGGCAGCAGAGCTTTGTCGTAAAGCAGCTCTCTTCTGAAAGAGAGTGGGCTGAGTTCAGCTTTCTCTTCGTTCACCTCCACGGACTCTACTTTCACAAGCTCAACAGCTGGAGCTTCCGGTTCAGCGGTGGCTGGAGGTTCTGGTTCAATGGTTGTCAAAGCCACATCTTTGGCTTTCTCAACCGATGGTTCGCCTCTAAAATTATTAGGGATTTGGAAGCCCTAGTACAAACATTTTAGTGGGAGAAAGAGACGTAGAAACGAGTGAGAGAGAGAGAGAGAGAAGAAGATATGAATTTAACAGAGGAAGAGAGTTGAGAGGGAGAGAGAGAGAGAATAAGGTTTAATTTGACAAATTTCTCTGTAATATACGAGTGTGGGGCTTGAGGGACCTTAGACATCATAAAATAATATTGTGGATCTCTTCCATTACTAAATATGGGAGAGGGACCTTAGACTAATTTTTCCTTAACTTTTTCAAAAATTATTAAGTAATTTGGAAGTATTATATGATATTACTTACATGATATTCTCGATCAATAAAAAATTGTAAAACACGCTAGGTGAATCATCTCTTATCTCTTTACTACTTATTAAAGAGATGAGCCAATATTATCTTATTATTAGAATTTCTTGTTTTATTAGTTTGCGGCACTACATTAACAACTTTATATGAGGCTACTATTGAATAATTACTTAGATCGTGATTTGAATGTTGCTTAATAATGGTTTAGGCCTCGTTTGACATTTGCATGTTTTAGCTTAAAAGTAAAAAATTTACTTAAAAAATTAAAAAGTCTATAATCTATACCAAAATGTCAAAGATTCTATTTTCTCTTTACTTTTTGCATATCTTTTTGTAAAAAATCAAAAAGTCATTTAAAACATATTAATTTTTTTTATCTCATATTTTAACCAAAAAGTCAAAAAATTATTAAAATAGTCTATTCTCAAGCGGGCCTTAAGTGTCAATGACCAATGGAGAAAAAAATTAAAAGGACACTTTCTTTCCTAATGGAAAGAAAATTATGGTCAAGAACAAGGTGTAATGGTTACCATCAACTTAACTACATTGAAAGCTCCTATTCATTGCCTTTATTAGGATGGGGTCTGAGTTGGTTACATATCATCTGTCCAATAGTGACTTTCCACCACAGATATGGAACTCTTGAGCACATACCCACACATGTATGTTTTCCTATCTACGGTTTGTAAAATTTAAAATCATTTTCTCCATTCTACGAATACCCACAAAAAAAAAAAAAAAAAAAAAAAAAAAAAAATTAAATGGATTTTTGAGAAACATCATGGATAATCAGCATTCACATGCTATGTCTGAATTTTACAAGCGCAAACAGACAGGTACATGTAAATGTACATATTTATATACATATATGTAGAAGAGAGAGATAGAGATAGAGAGAGCTATGTACTGGTTGGCCCAAGAAGGTAACAAGATTTAGAAAGTTCCAAGGATGGATCCAGCAAAGCTAGTATATATCACACCATCTGATAGGAAGCATGTGAAGTTTGCTAAATGGAAGATTGGACAGAGTACCTTAAATAGCTAAAATCATTAAAAAATAAAAAATGAAAAAAAGGTACCTTATATAGCTAACATCATTTCTTTCTTCAAAGAGAAAATTTTGTTTAGGAGTCAGGATCACTGTCTTGTTTTTAGTCATTCATTATTAGTCACATAAGAAAAAGTAAAATCACGATCTCATATTGTTGAGATTCACTGTCTCAAAATTAATCATAAATAATTTAGAACTGAAGTAGATGCGATGGTCCAACACCACATAACCAAAGATGAAATCCAAAACAGGGCACTTAATCGCATGAAGAGAAGGGAGATAAGATTACAATTGACACCAAATAGTTGTAACTAAAATTCGATATTAAAAATGAAACAATTGAATGAAAATTACCGGTTTTATATTGCTGAGACTAAGCCCTCGTTTGGAATGAGTTGATTTAGCCTAATTTTTTAAAAAAATTTAGCCTGACTAAAAAAGTTGTGTTTGTGATATATTGATTTTTTTTTTTTTTTTGTAGTTAATTTAATGGTTGTGAGAGCAAAGGTGAAATAATTATAATTTGAATGTGATATTTTATCTTATTGACTAATTTATATTAAAAAAAAAAATATGCCAAACAAGTCCTAAATATCAAATGCACAATGATTAATTAATTCATATGATAAATTAAAGAGGTACAAAAATATAATTATTATAACATCATTGTTGTTACAAAATAAACAAAACATCTAAGATTATTTGTTTGTGCTACTCAACCATTTATAATTCTATGAATTGGTTCTTAATAGTAATTTCCACATAAATGGGTAATTTATTTATTTATTTTGTCATGCTTCTCAATAAGATCCAACCCCAAAGATGGCTAATTGTCAACTATTAAAACATTAATTTATACACCAGTTACATGGTATGGTAGTGTGTGGTTGCTGAGAATCTGAAAAGCAAAACTTGAGAAATCAATAAGGTGTATTTTCCCAGGTTGTTACTTAACTTAAGGTGTATTTAACTTTTCTTCACCTTTTTCTTATTTTCTTATTTTCTTACCATAATAATCTTAAAAGGTTGCATGCACACCTTGACAAAAAATAGGAGACTTTTTTTTCACGCGCTGGAAGGAAAGTTCTTGGTGGTAACATTTTCAAACGGACGAAAATACCCTCAATTTCTATGACAGAGTAATATGACAAGCTTTTCTATTAGTGATTAGGAAGGGTAGATAAGTAATTTTACTAGCTTCCCCCTTAGAAAATGAGATCCCTGGACTGCCAAACAAAGGCAATGTGAGGAGGGAGCGAGGGAGGGAGGGAGAAGGTAGAAAAATGAGACAGAGAGCCTTTCCTTCTTGTTAGGCTTTTCTTCATGTATGCAGATGGGGTTGCTGCCCAATGTAATCATGAGCCCTCCAACCATCATTACCAATCTTGAATTGAAACCCCTCTCTCTCTCTCTCTCTCTCAATGAGAAATTTACATGACAGCCAGGGCACCACATGGGTGCAGACCCATACCCATAGAAACACCATCCAACTATATATATATTAATCACCCAAGGCACTCTATTGTCTCAAATTCAACTCTTTCGTTCCAAAGCTCTTCTTCTTCTTTTTCTTCTTCCTCTAATTCTTGATATAGAAGAATTTTCATTTAATAATAGCTAGCTAGCTTGCTTCCAATAAAAAAAAAACATGTGTATCAATTCCACAGAATGGATTAATCCACCTCCTACCCAGTCTTCTTGCCCGCAAAAACAACGATCAAAGCGATCTAAAGTTCAAGTTCACAAACTTAATAGGTAATTCATATTGGTTTCTTTTTGGGTACTATTTCATTGTTTTAGTTTGATCCTTTTATCAAGTGATCTTAATGAATGAATTTATTTATTAGCAGGAGGAAGAGAAAATGTGAAGAGAAGGTTGGGAAGGATATGGAGATGAAGAATTTGAAGCTGTATATGGAGAACATGAGTATATTGGAAGAGAATGCGAAGTTGAGGAAGAAAGCTAGCCTCCTACACCAAGAGAACCTTGCTTTGATGTCTGAGTTTCAGAAGAAATTCTTGGCTTTTGATCGTCTCTCCACTACCCTTTTTCTGCTTTCTCAGAACAATAATAGCATCAAATGAAGAACTGTTTGTTGTTCTCGCTTTGGTTTCTTTGTTGTAATTCTCTTTCTCTTTCTCTCTCTCTCTCTCTCTCTCTCTCAGCTATTTTATATCTAATTGGGTTTAAGGAGGAGTAGGTTTGTTTAATAGTATTTTATTTTATGTTGTTACTTACTTGTTAGTCTCTTATCAGATAAAATTTCATAAGAAAATTAATAACGATTGCCCCTTCAATTTCATTCCATCTTGTAACTAACTATGTGTTCTATTTTTATGATTTTGGCTGTTTGTGAGACTATTTAATGCTATTACTGTTGTATTGACTAGTTTGTCATAAACAAGACACTACCTGTGTTGATGATTTTTGTTTTTTGTTTTTTGGATTTTGATTCTCTCACTTTCATAGATGGAATGAAGATCTCTATTTCATTAAAGTTATAGAGTTGTAACACATGGTCAAAATTCAAAATCAAATGGTTATAGCTACAAATTAGAGAGAAAATGGCAAACCAGACTCAAATGCAATATATAGTTGTAGAAGGGACTCAGAATTGTGGAGATGATCAAGCTCTAGCATTGTTTGAAAATTTACTTTTCTTTTTCTTTTTCTTTTTTTTTTTTCAGGACCATTATGGGAAGATAATAAAAGATGAGAGACAGAGAGAGTCGAGGCATTTCATTTCCTCATAAAGGATGTTTCATTGGAACCCTACAAACAAAACAAACACACTTTTGAATGGAAAATGTCATTCAATTCCTCCACACACCCCACACGGACACACACACACAGAGCAATAGCTTTGGCCTGTATTTTTTTTTCTAAAGCCTCGAGCCATCAGTTGGGACTCCGGGGGGGATTCTTCACACGTGAGGGAGAAAAATTGTAAAGAAACTAGTTCCTGGAAAAGTCCCCAAAGCTTTTGATTAAAGATATTTTCTATATTATTATGAGTGGTGCTACATCCCTTAATTGTTTTTTTAATTCCATCTCTAATGACGTGACCAACTCCACTGAAGCAGGTTCACACTTTTCTCTCTCTCATCTTTAGTGTCTCTAATTCAACATCACTAGGGATGAAATATTACCCAATTTCTATATTATTATGGGAAATAATATGGTATACACCCTTTGAGGGGTGTATACCATATGCACATTATAACTATAGAAGAAAATGACATAATTTTATACTTTTTGAATCATAACTTAAGAAAAAAAAAGAAAAAAAAATCATAACCAAACATAGAAAATCATAACAAAACATCTCAAAATAATGTTATAACTAAAGAAGAAAATTAGTCATAACGAAATAAAAATGGACGTAACTAACGATGCATATAGTATAGGGTGTGTATAATAAAGAACAAAAGAAACTGAATATTATCTTTATAGATATTTCGGAACATACGTTCATTCCTCTTATATACACACAAGTGCTATATATCTAAACTATATCTATCTGTCTAACAAACTAATTAACTAACTAGTTGTTACAATAACTGTTTACAAGTATAAATTGTCTACACCTCTTCTTCACCCTTGTTCTTATGTTGCATTAGTTTGCTTTGACCTATTTTAGTATGAATCTCATCAAGCCCCCTCAAGCAAATGGGTGAGGAACGAACCATGAGTTTCTCTTGAAGGAAAGAAAAGCGAGCAACAAAGGCTTGGTGAGGATGTCAGCAACTTGATCAAAGGAAGACACATGCTTGACCACAACCTGACATAACCTGATCTCGGATAAAATGATAGTCAACAGCGATATGCTTAGAGCAAGCATGGAACACAGGGTTAGAGGCAAAAGAAATTACAGATAAATTGTCACATCATAACAGAGGAGGAGAGACAAAGGGAACATGAAGTTCACGGAGAAGCATACGAAGCCAAGTCAATTCAGACGCAGTCTGAGCAAGGGCTCGGTACTCTACCTCAATGGAGGACCGAGAGACGGTATACTACTTTTTAGCAGCCCAAGAGATCAAGTTAGGACCAAAAAAGACATAATAACCAGTAGTGGACTTCCTATCAAGGACACTACCAGCCTAACAATAGCCTGAATAGGCATGAAAAGTCAATAGACCTGGAGTAAAAAACCAAGAAAAATGCTTGGTGCTCCCACTAATTAAGTGGCAGTGGGTCCCGCCATTAATGATGTGATGTTTTGGTCTTGGAGTTGTATTTTTTTTTTTTTTTTACTTTTTTAATGCATTAGTGCTATTAGTGGTGATGTTTTTAGTGGGATGAATCATTGTTGAAAAACCAAACCATAAGATAATGTACCCTGAAGATATCTGAGCAACCGCTTGACAGCTTTGAAATGAGCCACTGTGGGAGCATGCATGAACTGGCAAACACAGTTAACAGCATAAGAAAGGTCAGGCCTAGTAAGAGTAAGGTATTGCAAGGCACCCACGATACTGCGATAAAGAGATGGCTGGGAAAAAGCAACAGAGGTCTCAGAGGAAGAACTAGACTTGGTGGCCATAGGAGAATTATAGGCTTTTACAGTTGAGTATACCAGCTTTGGCCAGAATATCAGAGGCATATTTGTACTGAGACAGAAAAAGACCAGAAGCAATGTGATGAATAACAATACCAAGAAAGTAAAAAAGAGACCCCAGCTCTTTCATAGAGAAAGCTGAATGCATATGCGTGATAAGAGTGGAAATTTGAGAAGAATCATTGCAGTGATAAGAATATCATCAACATAAACCAGGAGAAAGATGATAAAGAAACCAAAATGGAGAATAAAAAGAGAAGAATCACATTTGCTATTGATGAAGCCACAAAAGAGCACGAAAGAAGAAAAAATTGAATACCAGGCGCGAGGGGCTTGCTTAAGGCCATAAAGGGCCTTTTTAAGTAAACAGACATGAGAAGGATTAGTGGAATCCTCAAAACCAGGAGGTTGAGTCATAAACACCTCCTCTTCCAAGATACCATGAAGAGAAGCATTGGAAATATCCAGTTAGCGTATGGACCAAGCAAAATGAAGAGCCAAACTAAGAAACACCCGAATAGTAGGCTACTTTGCCACAGGACTAAAAGTTTCATGGTAATCAATACCCTCAGTTTAAAGAAATCCCTTAGCCATAAGTCGAGTTTATGCCGAGCTATGGACCCATTGAAGTTCTTCTTGATTCGAAAGACCCAATTGCAGCCAATCTATTGCTTACCAGGAGAAAAAGGCACCAATTGCCAAGTCTGTTGTCGTTGGAGAGCTTGATATTCCTCATTCATGGCCGCAGCCCAAATAGGAGTCTTAATAGCATCTGAGAAGGAATGAGGCTCAATAAGAGCATGATCATGAGCAATAGAAGCCAAGAGGGATTGATGAGAGACTGAGGCTTTAGACCTTGTAAGCATGGGATGATTGTTAACTGGAAGAGAAGAAGAATTAGGGAGAGTTGGCTGAAGAGGATAGGAAGTAAGATCAACAGCAAGAGAAGCAGTAGGAATAGGGGCTGCGAAAGAGGGCAAAGAGAGAGAAGCATGTATAGATGGTAAAACTGGAGAGATATGAGAAAAATGAGGTATAGGAGATGAAAAAGTAAGAGGAGAAGAAACAGAAGAGTGAGCTGAACCAGTGGGTGGCTAGAAAAAGGTTTGAAGTTGAGAAAGAGTAGAAGAAAAAATATAAGTGATAGAATGATCAACCAAAAGAAACACGGATTCATAAAAAATAACATGTCAAGATAAGTACACTTGACCTGAGAGAGGATCTAGATATCTAGATCCTTTGATAGGAGATGATAACCAATGAAAATGCAAGGAATGGATCGAGGTTGAACAGTATAAGGTCGAAACTAAGGGAAACACCTACACCCAAAACACTTAAAAGAAAGAAAATCAAGGATTTTATGATAAAACATTTCAAAAGGGGTAATGTTATGAAGCTTGGAAAAGGGCAATCTATTAATGAGAAACATAGAGGTAGCAAGACAGTCAAACCAAAAGAAAAGAGGAAGACCAAACTGGTGAAGTAAAGCAATAGTGGTAATGAAGAGATAGTAGTGTTTCCTTTCAACCACGCCATTTTGGGAAGGAGTATAAAGGCAAGACATATGATGCAAAATACCATGAGACTTGAAATATTGTTCAAACTGATGCCCTATATATTCACCCCCACCATTTGTGCGAAACACTTTAAGTGAAGTAGAAAATTGTGTTTCAACAAAAATTTTAAATTCTTTGAATTTGAAGAACACCTCACTTTTAAAAGAAAGAGGATACACCCATGAGAATTTACTGTAATCATCCACAAACAACAAATAATATTTGAAACTAGAACTAGATGAGCAAAATGGACCCTAAACATCACTGTGGATGAGGGATAAAGGTGCATTAATAGTGAAATTGGACAAAGAAAATGGAAGTCTGTGACACTTAGCTACAGCACACTGAGTACAAACATGTTTAGTACAAGATTTATGAACAGGTGAATGAAATTTATTCAAAACAAAATCAAGCTTCTATGAGGAGGGATGGCCTAGTCGTTGATGCCAAGTAGTAGTAGGAACAGGTGCAGCATATACAACAATATGAGCAGATGCAGATGATGATGAAGAAGTAGGAAAAAACAAAGTTCTAGACAAGCAAGTAGGTAACTAATAAAGACCTTTATTGTAAAAAACTTTATACAGAGGAATCATGGAATGTTTGTCCTGAATGACAAAAAAAAGTATTATCCAATGTGATAGAGTAATTGTTATCAGAAACCAATTGATGAACTGATAAAAGATTAGAAGAGACAGATGGAGCATGAAGCATATTACAAAGTTTGAAAGAAAAAGAAGGAGTATGAAGAATACATTGGCCTATTTGCATAATATGAACGGTAGAACCATTACCCACAGTTACATGATCAGATCCATGATATAGATGATACTGCTGAAAATTAGAGAGATCATTGGTAACATGAATAGTAGCAATAGAGTTAACATACCAATTTGTAGGAGGAGAAACAGACTGAGAAGCCATATACATAGTATGGGATGGAGAATTGGGCTAAGAGTTGGAATTTGGCGGAGAATTGTAAGAAGTATCCATCCGAAACCAACAATCAAGAGCTGTATGATTAGGCTTGCCACAGATTTTGACAATAAAGAGTGAAACCAGAACCACCAAAACCAGAGGAGGAAGAAGATGAAGATTGTCTGCCTGAATTAGAAAATCGGTGATTGTCGTGAAATCGGCCTCCTCTTGAAGAATTATTTCCTCTACGAAATTGATTTTGATTCCCTCGATAGTTAGAAGAT